CCCCCCCCCCCCCCCCCCCCCCATATTGAAATTTCTGGAGAAAAGGTCCTTTCAGTACTCCCCAATTCTCTCATTCCAGGGACCATGGTCTCAAAGATGGGCTTATTTGCTACTAATAGGAGAAAGTATGCCCAGCTGCTAGCCACGGGTCTTGTACTCACCCAGAAGAAAGAAGTGGAATCTGCTCAGCATGGTTCCACTGAACTGAGTAAATGTGAATTTAGTCTCCTCAAAAACATGAAGGAACTTTAAATTGCTGAGAGCAGCTTATATAAGGTAGGCACTGCTGCGTCTACTTCTGCAAAAAAGCACAAATTCCTCAAAGTGCATGCATTCTCCCTCCTCTCTGGTTACTTGCCATCTCTTGAGCTCGACATGTCTGATTGAACACAGGTGGCCCAATGACAGCTCCCAGATCATTTCACATAGCTCCCAAAGAAAGAGAAATGGTTGGACTCTATGAGCAGATCAATGAGTGCAGCAAGCACATCTCTGAAGTTTTGCGTCCCGTGGTTCATGACTACGTCGCCATGTTGGTTGTGGCCAGAGAGATCATGGAGTTGGCCCACTCCTGGCACAGTCCTATGCAATCACCGTGTTGGAAGGGACCTCGAGGTTCATTTGGTCCATCCCCGGCGAGAATACAGGAATGCTACTCCTACTTCATCCCTGTCCAATGCCTACCCGGCCTACACTTGAAAACCTCCCCTATCACTTGGGCAGTCTATTCCATTGCCTCACTGTTGCAACAGTAACGGAGCTTTTTCTGAGATGTAATGCTTTGTGAGATGCAAACTAATTAAACAGTTTGCTTTCCCTCTTCTTTATGGCAGCTTTTCCAATATTTGAAGATTGCTGTCACAGTCCCCCTTAATACCCTTTTCTCCAAACTAAACATGCAAAGCTCTCAACCTTTCCTTCTATGCCTTGTGAACCGCTAGCCAGCTATCAGCTTCACTGCAGAGCAGACAGATAAATAAAGATAAATATGTTCTTTTGTCTGTAGTGTCCACCACAGCAGTTAGGCCAACAGGTTCTGGCCTTTCCCACGATTACAGGGCTGATTTCAAGAACAGCGTGGGCATGGGAAGTGTTTTATGATCATTCATTTCATGTTCATCCACATCTAGAAGGTCTAGAGCAATGTGAAAACTAAGCTGCTGTGCTCCAGTGACTCATGAAGATCTAGTCTCTGAATTAGGTTTCAAGTTCTCATATCCACTCTGATCTAACTTTGTTACTAGACCTCTGAACCTCCTTTTTCCCCCCAGCTATCAAACAGAAGCAGTGTTAAATCCCTATCCTGCAGGCCAGGGCTGGGGTTCACTTGAATATACCCTAATGGATTTGCTTTTGCAGATGTAAGTATAGCAGGGAGCAAACAGCAGGAAGCCCTTGATAAACCCACTTACAGACTTTCCATAGGACTATACCATGGAGGCAGGCCCAGGCAGGGAAAAGAGCCCTGCCTCATTGCGTGAGGTCTTTCAAGTGGTGTAAGAAGTGATTCAAAGTGCTGCTGGAGCACTTATCTCATTGGGATCTACTTCAGGAGGAGCAAGTGTGAAAAGGAAGCAGTGAAGCATTATGTGGCAGGTCGTCACCTAATGTGAATTGCCACAGCGATCGTGGAAAAATGGCAATTTACATCAGCTGAGGATTTACCCCTTCATGTATTGCCTGTCTTGCTAGTTTGGAGTCACCTACGTGCCCCAGCTGCGGAGGAGGCAGCAGCTAGGGGAACAGTAAGATGCAGAGCTAATAGAAATGACACTCCCTTCTCCATAAAAAATGTAAAATTTGACACACTAAAGCAACTAGTTTATTGTCAATGGACAGTTTCACCTTCTTTCTGGTTCTGAAAACTGGAACCACTGGTTTTTAATACTCTAGTTTTAATTTGAGGCATTCCCCACTTTTTGCCCATTTTTGTTGTTGTGACTTTTTCCTTACTTTTCTCAGTGTGGGAGAAGGGGCTGAACAGGGGGAGAGAAAAGGGGAAGGAGGGAGACAAAGGGGAAAATCTGGAAACTAAGAGTTGATTTCTGCTTTATTTTCAAAAACTGCAGCAAAAGGAAAGGGACAATTCAAAAGGAGAGGGGAGGAAAATTTCAGGCTGAATACCTGTGCCCAAAAGCCTAGCCCTTTCCACACATCATTTCATATTGATTAAACTTATCTTTTGCCTAGAAAAAATATTGGCCAAAAGAGATGGCTCTAACTGCATGGGAGAAGAGTCAGACTCTTGTAGCAAGTGGGTTTGAGAGGTCGGAGTCCCGTTGATATGAGCATGGGCAGCCCAAACAGTGGCAATTCTGGAGTCTGAGTGCTTCCCTTTGCAGCTGCCCTAAGGCCTATAAATGTGTACTCTGCTCAGGGGAAATCCATCAGCGATTTGTGCCTGGTTTCACACTATCCCCTTTGCTGTAAGAATGTCATTAGTTCACTGAGTCAGTGTGTCACACCATGAACCGCGGCATGCAAAGAAAGGGGGAGGGAGTTCTCAGAGCTGTCGATTCTGAGAGGGCTCTGTATGCACCCTTACTAGAGATTCAGCATATTCCAGGTCAAAATGTGCTCTTTATGCAGAAGTGGAAGGGAAAAAAACAGAGGAAGTATCTTTTGTTTTGTTTTTTTACTTGCCTTCCTCATTTGCAGAAAAGCTTCATGCTTTCCTTGACGTCAGAGTCAGCATTCTCTTGTGAACCGAATTCCCACAAGCCAGGACGTAGCATCTTCCGTTTGTAGGAGTTAGCCCAGTGCATTATTCAAATATGATTTTGGGACTCTCAGACTCAGAGAAGTAGCTACCTTACACTGGTATTTTTGTGGACAGCTTTGTTCTGCACTAAAAGTGCTTTTGGATACTGTAGCTTAGTCTACCTAGACAGAATGTCCATGCAGGGAGTAAATGTAACACAGCTATTAGACTTTGAATTCACACCACACCTTATTTCATACTAGCTTCCCCATGTAAAGCAAGACATAGGACTAATTCCAGGAGCCACCTTTATACTCTGAGACCATGTATAAGGAACAAGAGGGGAATCTCAGGAGAGAAAAAACTAGCCATACTCCCCTCTATAACTGTTTCTAATGCTGTAACATGAGCACTCAGATGCGGAGACCTGCAGTACATCTCCAGGCGGTATACACAGGGAGCACACTCTCAGTGCCTTGGGGATGATGGCAAGATAGCAGATAAAGTGTCATAAGTGCTAAGAAGGCATTATTTTCCTCCATCATTTGTTCTTTTTCTCCTCCCCCCATCCTTCATTATCTTTTTTTCTCCTTTTCTCTTCCCTTTTCTCTACTATACCAACCCCTGGATCTTGTGTGCTGGGTTTCCTCTTTCTAATATAGTTCAGATTATAATCTAAATTCTCATCAGATCAGTATCTTTTTCTTTTTTTTGCAGAATCTGAACCACAGTTAACGTGTGTGGTTCCTAGCACTGTCATCTCTATCCCCAAAATTTCTGGGATATTTGCTGCCTTTTCACAAAGCTCCAGCTCCTGGAGTCACATTAGTATGCGAAAACCTCAGCTTTTGTTATGCAGTGATACATTTACAGCCCTTGACACATGGAAACATGAACCGGCAGACAGTTCCCCTATTTCCCTTTATCGTTGTTATGTTTAATCTCATTTGACTTGATGATAACCTGAGACATCTTTCCAGTTTTGAGGCCTGGATCATTTTTGACTGCTTAAAGGGCAGCACTGGGCTTAAAAAAAAACAGCTCTTGACTTCTGGAAGGAGATACCAGGAAAGCACTTCCTAGGAAACTCCACACACTGAAAGCCTCAGAGCTTCCCTTTCCTTCTGCGGATTATTCCCTTCCAGGACAGGGCCTAAATAGTCTTTAGGCTTTTCCATGGTGCACTGAAGAGGAAACCTGGAGGAAAACAAGCTACATGCTAAGGTACAGAGCTAGAGAGTTATGCATCCCCTATGAGAACAGAACATGGTTATCATCCCTGTTTGGTGAGGAAGGAGACCGTATGGGTTCGGGCACTGGTTTATGAGCAAGGAACTCAGGGCTCTAACTCCATGCTGTCCTACCAACCGGGTGTGCATCCAGAGGCAGGACATCCCATTGCTCCCTGCCTCAGTTTCCTCCATGTGCAAAATAAGGATGATACCTTCCAGTGTCACGAGATGGGGCTGGATTTGCTAAGTCTCTGTGCTCACATAATACTCAAATGGAAAGACCTCAAAAAATGGGATGTATTTCCATTTTACTTTCTGGTTGCCCAAGACGTGTGAAAATCCAGGGTGCAGCAGTCCCCAAAATCTCACTTTCAAGGGCCAATGCTGTCCTAGCTGGCATGCTTCTCCTGGAATGGCAGCCCCATTAAGGAGTGCAAAGCATTGTGAACTGGCAGGAGGAAAGGAAGGAAGCTTCTCCAGCTCCAGGATCAGAACAGAGGTGGTGGCAAAGCATAAGGACACCAAAGTGTCCTTCTGGGTGGATGACTGCAAAGCTGTTGGGACGCTAAAGCCCCTAATTAGAGGGCTAGCCCCCCAGCCTGTGCTGTTAGGGGCTTCCCACCTCACCCAATGGGACTGAGCTTTTTTCTCCTTCTCATGGGGCACCCAGCATGGGAGCGGTGGTATGCTGTGATCTCTTCTGGGACCAGAAATGAAGCCGTACCAGATCTAACTGGTGTGGAGTACTGGGGAGTTTGAGACTTGGCCCTGAACAACATGACTCCAGCTCAGCTGTAGGGTAGCCCAAGTGACAATACCCAGCCACAACTGCAGTGCAGTCCCCAATCATGACTCTGTGAATTGGGCCTTTTACATGAAATTCAGTGGTTAGCAAAGCAGTTTCAGGGCCAATGTTTGTCCTGGAGTGTCACCTAGTGGCCATGCTCCAGAGACGGCAATTGTCAGTTAAAACGAGTGCTGAGGTATTACTCAGAGGCTGCAAGAAGATTCGTAGATATGGCTGGAAAACAATGATTCCTACCTCTTATCTGGTGCTTCAAAGGGCTTCACAAGGAAATCAGCATCATTGTTCCCATTTACAGAAGAGGAAACTGAGGTACAGTGAGGAAAAGAGCTTGCTAAAGGTCACAGAGAAGGGTTTATTAGCACTCAGATAATCCAGGCTTTACTGGATGAGGCCACTAAAGCAACCATAGTGGCCTGAACTTCATGCCGGGGGGAGAGGTACTGCAGTGCTA